GCAGCCTGAATGCCGGTGTCTTTTCTGGTTACATATTCTACTATTTAGAAGACTGTTTGTCTTCCTGAATGCTGCAGGCAGTTGGGAATGCAGACTGGTGCAGCCATTGTGGAAAACAGTGTGGCATTTCCTCAGAAAACTAAAAATGGAACTGCCTTTTGACCCAGCAATTTCACTACTGGAATTATACCCTAAGAATCCTGAAACACCAATTCAAAAGAACCTATGCACCCCAATGTTCATAGCAGCTCAATTTAAAATAGCCAAGTGCTAGAAGCAACTTAAGTGCACAGCAGTAAATCAGTGGATCAAAAAACTGTTGTACATTTACATGATGGAATATTAAGCAGCAGAAAGAAAAGAAGGAGCTCCTACCCTTCACAACAACATCCATGGAACTGGAGAGCATTATGCTAAGTGAAATAAGCCAGGAGGTAAAAGACAAATACCATATGATCTCACCTACAAGTGGAACCTAATCAACAAAATAAACAAGCATGCAAAATATAACCAGAGACATTGAAATAAAGAACAAATTGACAGTAATTAGAGGGAAGAGGGGAGAGGAGAGGGGGATAATGGGGGAAAATAGGGGAAGGTCCATCAAGGAACATGTATAAAGGACACATGGAAAATTCCAAAGGGGGCAGATTCAAGGGTGGCAGGCGGAGAAGGATGGGGTGGAGGGCGTGGTGGGGTAAAAGCAGAGATAACTGTACTTGAACAACAATACAAAATAATTATTTAAAAATATACCTAGAGAGGGATATTTAAAATAAATATAGATGGAACTGGAAGATCTAAGAGCCTTCAGAACACTAACTTCATCATCGTTAGCCCACATTACGAAAAATCCTTGTCTTGTTAGGAGAAGAGATTGAAAAGTGAGAAGATATGATAGAATGTGTTGCTAACAAGAATAATATTGATTGCATAGCCGATGTACTTGATGGTAGTGCTTTTTAGTTTAGAAGAATCACAAGGAATCAAAGACAGAGAGGGTTTATGTTCCAGTCACTATGCCAGCTCTTTACCCAGGAACACAGGTTAATAACTGCTAAATGTATAGCTAAGAAAAATCAAATGCTAGCATTTAAAGTGACTGATTTCCTACTCACCACTGATAAGCAAGCCATAAAGCAGCCAGAACTGAGACTAGCAGAGAGAATGTGACAGTGATGAGGACATGGCATATTGATTGCATGTAAAAGGGTGAATTAATAAGAATGATACGTCTATATAGAATTAAATACAGGTCCTCCTCAGCACCAGTTCAGCCTCCAGGTGACAGGCTTCAGGCTACCCCCATGGATATAGGCCCCACACCTGCCTTCATATGGCAATGTCCCAGGCTTACCATAATGGAATCAGTTGCCAAGCTTAACTCAGTGGTCCTGGGCACCAGACCCCCATGAGGACCAGGCATCAGGTCAGCCCCTGTCCACCTGGGCAGCAGGCCCACCCACTTGCTAAACCAATTAAAAGTCCAGTCTACCCAAGGATTCCAGCAGCAAGCTCACCCAGGAACCTCACCAGGTGGCAAGCCTAGAACCTCTGGATAGGCTGAGTGGTGAAGAGCTTTCCCTGGCAATGCCAGTCTGTGGAGACTGGCAGAGGGGCCTACTTCTTCAAATGTCCAGACACTAATGAAGGTCACAAGGATCACAGATAATTAGGGAAACATAACACCCAAAAATAAAAAAAATAAAGCATTAACAAGTAATCCTAAAGAAATGGAGCTACCCAGTGTTAGCTGTCTTTTTCTATTTCAAACTATAACACTTCTGCCATTGTACATCTTTCATTTCCAGTTTAAAAGAATGCTACTTTTCAACCCTGAGTGAAATTGTAATACTTCAAACATTAATAACTAATTATCATTGCTTTGTATTTATTTGTGGATATAATGCTTAATTATGTAGAGAAGACTAGAGTGATACTATTCAACTCAGTTTCTTGTCTCCTACTCTTATTACCTCCTTTGATTTTTCATATTGATAGATTTTATAGAGCATTATTTAAATTAAGTATTTAAAATCATTTGATCCTTTTTTTGCAAATATACCAACTACAATAGTTATATTATTAATTATTAACTTGTCATTAAATTAAACATATTAGTAAATGTACCATAAATATTTTGGTCTCAATAATGTATATTTTAGAGTCTCTTGTGCAGATTTATTAAGATAAAACCTGTAGTGATTTTAGTGCATAAGAACACTTTGGTGAATGCTCCATGAGATCATATTGATAGTAAATATGCTTCAAAGTTGACAGGGAAATAACTGCAATTTTATCTCATCTTCTTTTTCCTTATCAAACCATAAAATCTTAAACATGCTGTGGTAGGACAATTTATGGTGCATAAAATTCAGTAACCAAATTTTGAAGTGTTTAGACAACTTAATTTTTCCTTTGATGTCAATTTAATAACAGAGATAAGCAGTCATATTGATAAACCAAGAATGTATTACGGCAGTGAGAGATCCCTACTGCTATGCTAGCTTATATATTTCTATTTAGTGTCTTTTCTCACCCCTCCCCCCAAAAACTACACTTCTGCTTGAAAGGTAGTGTATTGTAGTGGGTGGAACATGACTCAAAGTAAAAATTCAGGCTCCATTATTTGCTACCTATGATAGGCTGTCAATTTACTCATTCCTCTGTCTATGTTTTCACACAACTAAAACATATTTGTGGGACCAGTAAAGGCATTAGTAATAAAGTTTGAAAAGCCTTTGATGATTTGGGCCTATTACTACATAAAATAAGGATTACTTGAACATAAACACTGCAAAATTGGTAGTTCAAAAAATAGTTATTTTCAAAATTTTATCAGTAGAAATAGTTTAAAAGAATGTTTAATTGCAATTGCAAAGCCCACTTTAAATATAAATAGTCCTCATGTACCTATGTTTCTGTTTCTATTTTGTTTGTTAAATTATTTGTTGATTGGATTCCAAATGTAAGTGAGATCATATTGTATTTGTCTTTCTCTGGCTTATTCCTCTTAACAAAACAATGTCCAACTCCACAGCTGTCAGAGGGGAGGGAGGTTGGGGGCTGGATGAAAAAAGATGAAGGGATTAAGCAATATATATATATATATTTCATATATTTCATATATAATGACATATATGTATATATGTATTATAGATACAATGTCAGATAGACACAGACAATAGTATGGTGATAGCCAGAGGGAAAAGTGGGTGGAGGAGATGGAAATGGGCAAAGGCGGGATAAATGGTGATGGAAGGAGACTGGACTTGGGGTGGTGAAAGCATGATGCAGATGATGTTTTATTTAATTGTACACTTGAAACCTGCATGCTTTTATTAACCAATTTCACCCCAATAAATTCAATAAATTAAAAAAAAGACAAAATAGTCTCTGAGATTTTAATTTAATATCAGAGGTCATTTTAAAACTTTTCTTTAATGATTCTTTGTCCTTTTTGTCAGTTAGCTAGTAGAAATAATATTTTACTTTCAAAGACAATTAAAAAACTGTTAGTATTATTAGTGGTATTATTTGTTTTCTTTTCTCTCTTTCTCTTCCCTATCTCCCTCCTTCCCTCCTTCCTTCCCTTCCTTTCCTGCTTTCTGTTGACAAGCACACTGTTACTTGCTTCAAACTCTAAGTTCTTCAGTTCTTCAGGAATATTTTCTTCAATTTTCCTCTTGATCATAATCCCCTTAATTATTCCCTTTTGCAGTTTCTTCCCTCCCACTATTTTTGCCAGTTGTATATTGATGATTTCCTCTTAAATCATTCATGAGGCTTATGTTGATGTAAATAGTTTATTTCATCAACATTTAAAATTTGGAGTTACAATTTGCTCTTACGCATTTATTCTAACTTTGTAACCCATAATAAATGACATTATGTTTATGTTTATTTTAAATTAAATGTATGCCTTTTCACTGAATTTTTCTTATGAATATGATTAAATCATTAATATAATAGTTTCCCTTATATGTAATCTCACTTAGTGGTTTCAGTCATCTGTGGTCAACTTTGGTCTGATAATATAAATGAGAAATTACAGAAATAAGCAATTCATATGATTTAAATGTCTCATGTTCTGAGTAGGGTGATGAAATTTTATGCCATCCCTCTCCATCCTGTCTGGACCTGAATCATCCCTTTCTCCACACGGTACATACACATCACTTGCCCATTAGTTGCCCATTAGTTGCTGGTAGCCAGATTGACTGTTGTGGTGTCACAGTGTCCATGTTCAAGTAACCTTTATTTTATTTAAGAATAGCTTCAAAGCATAAGAGTAGTAATGCTAGCAATTTGAATATGCAAAAGAAAAGCTGTAAAGTGCTTCCTTTAAGTGAAAAGGTGTGTATGCATAGGAAAAAAACACAGGGTTCTGAACTATCTTAGGTTTCAGACACCCACTGATGGTGTTGGAACACATCACCTCTAGACATGGGTGACTACTGTACATCTTACTAGTGATTGTGAAGATGTTTCCACTTCTTCATTTCTTGTTATTCCCAAACTCTCACTCATATCTCTTGTTGTTTTCATTATTTTAATTAGCCTAGAATGCCTTAGTTGGTTTCATTTATTTTAATACATCTTTGATGTTGCTGTTTTCTTATTTGATTCTTAGGTTTATGATAGTAATATGGATAACTTTGCCTTGAAGGGAGAAAGTAGTACTATTACTACATGATAGTATCTTCTATATAATTTATGTACTTTTAAATATCATTACTTTCCTTTCCAGAGCACTGATGAAAATACTAAGTCAGAAATGGAGGCAAGTTTAATTACTTGGAAATATATTTTACGTTTACAATGAGGACAAACATGATGTATGTTTGGCTTGAAAGAATAGGAAGGAGTCTGATTAAGGTAAGATTAGAATGCAATATCAATGTCTTTGAGAAAGTTAGTAAATTATAGGGACAAAGCAATGAAATAAGTTAGAATGTGGTTTTAAATATTTAGAATCTTCCTTATTGTACCCTGATTAATCAAAACTTCAGTTTCTTTGAGAGAAATTTTATCCTCTTTATGGAGTCAGTAAAAGCTTGTTTCACTTGCTTATTCCTCAGAGTGTAAATGAAGGGGTTCAACAAGGGTGCAACAGAAGTAGTGAGCATCGCAACACCTTTATTTATGGCCACCTCATCCTTTGCTGAGGGCTTGATATAGATGAAAATGCAGCTGCCATAGGTGATGGAAACCACGATCATGTGGGATGAGCATGTAGAAAAGGCCTTTTTTCTTTGTTGGACAGAAGGGAATCTCAAAATTGTCCTTATAATATATGTATAGGACAGAAACACACACACTAGGGTGATAATGAGTGCAAATATAGCCACGAGGATAACTATTTGTTCTATTACCCATGTATCTGAGCAGGAGATCTTTAGGAGGGGACCTGCATCACAGCTAAAATGATCAATGGCATTGGAATCACAGAATTCAAGCTGGAGGCCCAGGCTAAGGGGTGGGAGAATGATCATCAAACCAGACACCCAACAGCAGACGACTAATAAGGTACATACCCGACTGTTCATGATGGTCATGTAATGCAGGGGTTTACAGATGGCCACGTAGCGGTCGTAGGACATGGCTGCCAGGAGAAAAAACTCGGTTGCTCCAAATAAAATAACAAAAAATATTTGACTTGCACAAGCATTATAGCTAATGGTTTTATCCCCAGTTGATATACTGTACAGGAATCTAGGAATACAGACTGTGGTAAATGAGACTTCTAAGAAGGAAAAATTTCTGAGGAAAAAATACATAGGGGTTTTAAGATGGGAGTCCAAAAGTGTGAGGGTGATAATGGTCATGTTCCCTGTTACACTCAATATGTAGGTGAGAAACAGAAAGATGAAAAGCAGAATTTGTAGTTGGGCATCATCTGTTAGCCCCAGCAGGATAAAAGTTGTTATTGGTGTATGGTTTCTCATCACTGACATTTGAAACCTACCCAATCAGCATGTAAAAATAAGAGATTTTATGAGGACATAGATATTCAAATGCTGGAGCAAAAAACTATGCATTTAAAAAATCAAACAAAGCAGCCTACATTAATTTTCTCCTTTACCATCATAATCAATATTGCCACTATTCCAGTAGATTTCTTGAATATTACTTGTACGAGCAATGATTATTCCTTCAGGATTTGTGTTATTGTTAAACAATCCAACTTTTTCTCAGATCATTATGTGCTTCTCAAAATTTATAAATGTAGTTGATTATAATTTATTATAAGAATTGGATTTACAAATACATTAGAAAAAATGATGATGTTACTTAAGCCTCTTCATCCAAGGTAAACCTTGGATATAGGACATATCCAGATAATTAAGAACATGAATTCTCTTCAATTGTTCCAAAGGATTGTTTTAAGGGTAAGATGGCATTTCTCCTGCAAAACAAACAAATGACAATGACAATAAAACATAACACTGGATCTTGAGATTTTTCCTTGTCTATTTATTCTTCACCACTTGTATTCCTGCTTCTTAACCCCAAGATGGTTTGATGCATAACTATTTTATCTACAGTGTCAGAAAATGTTGTGTTTAAGATATTTACGAAAGATGCATGTGAATGCATCTTCACATGCATTCATGTTATTTTTTATTTAGTTGGCTCTGGTACCTTTTCTCTCAAAGCTCCTAAAGTAAAAAGTACATTTAACTTCACTAAATATAGTCTTCTAGGTGGTGCTTTTTTCATTGTGTTTTTAATTTCTTTAAACAGAGATTAGTGTTTTCAATTTCTCATTTTACCACTACTACTTAGTTTAGGTTTTAAGTCTCTGCAACTTGACTTTCACCTCCAGGCCCTCCCCCCACAACTGATTTTCTAACACCTACAGGAACTTCATTGCGGATGAAGTCAATGGCACTATTTTTAACAGTTATTTTGCCTGGCATCCCCACAATATTTTTTTAAACAACTAAAGTTCAGTCATTCTTCCAGTGATCTCAGTCCCTTATGAACAAACTATTGGGGAATCACAGGTACAGTTATTAGAAAAACATTACTTGTAAAGGAGAATAAAATGGTAATTCTGAGTGTCTTAGGGACAAAATGTGCCAACTTATTTGACCTACAGTTTGCTTTGTAAATTTCTTCCATTTTTGAAAACATAATCCTTTATTCAAACTTTAACCTGCTTCTGTTTTCTCCTCTTCTTCAGAAACACAATATACTTTCAGTCCTCTTTTTAATTTTTATATTTTTATTAAATAAAGGTGACTACATCTTCTCCTTTTTCAGAAGACAGGAATCCTCTCATTCTTCCATTTATCTGGATCTTCCTCTCAGAAATCTTCCCACAAATGTAGGGTAAGCAAAATAAAGGTGATATTTGCCTCCATAGTCTTTGTTGTCCATACTCCTCCACTTAAATCTCCAGGCTCCTTTTGTCTGACTCCTCAAGTCATATTGGCCTGTGCCTTGATTATGTTGTCCTATCAGACTTGACAGCTGGCTTTCCTTTATGTAATGCAAGTGCATAACTTAAGCTGTGAGTGCTGAGCCATACAATTCAAAGAGGCATCCACTTCAAAGATGGCTATCTCCAACCAGATAGTAGGCTGGAATACCCCCACCATCCTTTCCTTTGTTTTAGGCAGAGGTGTCCAACATTTTGGCATCTCTGGGCCACACTGGAAGAAGAAGAGTCATCTTGGGGCACACATTAAATACACTAAATACACTAAAGAAAACTGATGAGAAGAAAAAGGTCTTAAGTAAATTTATGATTTTGTGTAGGGCTGCATTCATAACTATCCTGGGCTGCATGTGGCCTGTGGGCCATGGGTTGGATACCCCTGTGAGATCTTGGCTGTTTGGGCCACTAGTTCTTTCTTTTGCTATACTTTAAATTTTCACTCTGATGTTTTAAATCCACCAATAAAGAGGCAACCCAGGAAGTCCCAAGTTCTCCCTCTCTTGCAAGGGCCAGTCCAGCCACAACACTGGTTATCATTTGGCTGAGACTGTCCCAAAGCTGGTGGAGTGCTACACTCTGACATTCTCTTGAGCTCACTCCTCCTAACTAATGATGCAACTCTGGACTCTTCTCTCTCACCTTCTTCCTATTAGACCACATCCACTTAATTGTATGTCAGGACTTGCTTCCACATGCTACTTGAAAATCCGAGACAAGCTATTTAAAATGGATGTATTTCATCCAGTGTCTACTATTTGCCAAGCACAGGACTAGGCTCTGTATCATAAAGCTCATTTAATTTATACAAAAATATTTACTATAGTTATTTATATAGTGTTTTACCTTCTTCCATAAATACTTGTGTTTCACTAGGTGATTTGTTGTAACTCTCTGAATTAGAATCATCTAGGAGAATTTTACAATATAGATTCCTTCGAACTTAGAAGGACCTAAAGAATTTTATCCAGGCAGTGGGGGAGATGGGTTAGGTGACAGTGGAAAAATTAACAACCAGAATATTATTAGTATTGTGATCAAGAGTTTCATATGCATATTAATGTTTGAGATCCACCCAGACAATTAAGGAAATTGTTGCCCAAACTTGGTATCATCACTTATATCTACATCTCCTTCCCAAATGGTGCTGTCTATTACATCATAAATAATCATTTAATTTACGTATATACATTATACTGTAATTTCAGATACACATGAAAAATGTGTAGAATATTAAGTGGCTATTATGAGTCTTCTGTTGTTGATATTATCTCTCACCATTATGTATATTTTTTAGTAAAAGGAAAAGACTATTTTCAACTGCTCCTAGTCATTAACCAACATTAATTATTTATAATGATAATTATGAAACTATATCCTGTCTGAATCTATAGTTTGTAGGGTTCCTGCTATTTTTTATCACTGAATAAAATAGTATCTCCTCAGAAGAGAGTAATTAATTTGTTAAATGAATGATTTTTCACTCAGTTGGCTTTATAATATATCCTGCAAATGACAGCTGAGCCTGGAAAAATTGATTCCTTTGGTCCTAGGGACATGTACCTTATAAAATTAGGTACATACAGCAAGGCCAGCTCTGTTTTCAAGGGACTAACACAGAAAACTGGACACTCATATGGGGAAACTCTAAAAAAACTCTCTATAAAAAAACCCATATGGGAATTGATGCAGACTTGGCACAACTAAGATGAAGACACTAATCAAGCTACTGGCCAACATTATATAATGACAGCCTGTCACATACACTTACCTCAGATCTTAAACCCTCACACTTTCTCAGGAAGTAGATAAACAATGAAAACTGTTTTCTTTGATTACCCTTCCACTCTGAAAATGTGGTCTCTTTTTGAGCCTCTCATACTGATCAAGAGCTTATTCAAGGAAAGAAAAACAGTGCTTTACTTTCCAATTCCCTGAGATTTTTTTCATACCCCCTCAATCCTCCTTCTCCTTGGAAATCCTACCTCTACCTTTGTTAGATAAGATAAATTTATTAATGGTATCTCTATATGCAAGTAGTGAATATTAATAAACACAAATTTCATTTAAATTAGAATTGGGAGTTAGGTGCAGCTCATACTTTACCACTCATCCTCAATTAGCTCCAACAGGAAAATGTTCTGCACTCTACTACTCTAGCAAGAAGAAAGAGGATCTTTTGAACAGGCAATTACTCAGTCAAAAACTGTTAAAAATCAGCCAATGGAAAGCCACTACATGTCAAACTGTCATTTCCCATCAAAGGACTTTTTGTTTACAATAGCTCCTCTGAATTCCCCCTTTCCTCTATAAAAGAACTTCTCTTCTGTTTCTCTGGACTTAAGGGTGATTGGCTATTAAATCACATGCTCCAAAATGCATTTTTTTGGGGTCTAAACATCAAAGTTTATTGAAATAAATTATATTCTATAATAAAAAATACTAAGGATGTTATCACTGGTTACAGTTTAAGTCTATTAACCAGAAATCCAACATTTTAATCCAAGAATGACACCTTCTTTCTGCTACAGTAATAAACATGATATTAGTATTGCATACCAAATTGCAATTCTTTGTTGCTCCTGAATAAATCAATTTTCAGCAGAAATATCTGGCTGTGTATTTGTTTAAGGTCAACAAAGTGCAATTGTATGCTAATAATTTAGTACGCTTTAGTTAATATTTGCCTCATCCTTTAAATTTGATTTATCGAAGAATTAATTCTCTCTCCATTACTCTAGGGCTACAAAATAGCAATAAACAGCAATAAAATAGCAATATTTCTTTCTCTTATCTCTTAAAGGGAAAAAGGAATTCTAATATCTACCTTACAGTACTTACTCTTTTGATAATTTTTCACGGTTTCAGCCAGCAGCTCCTTATTGTGTTTAACTGTGCTGTGTTAGGGAAGATGTGCCTCTACACTGTTCTAACAGGTTGTCAACCTACACTTACTCTCCAGGCATCTTTTGGAGGGTCTTAAGCTCTTCAAGTTTCCCATTTTTTCATATCATATAAAAACTGTCATATCATATTAGAGAATCTTTCTTATTGTAAACCCTGAAAACATTTTCCTTTGATGTCTGTCACAAAGGGAAGAAAACCTAGTGTAAAGGAGAATAGAAGAACTCCCTCTGGGTTTTGGAAGAGCTATGATGGTTCTGAGCAAGGAGCTGGCTCTCCTACTCCCAAAATAATTATATTTATATGTTTCTGTTGAGTCTTCTGAAGGTGCACTGGGATCACTCAAACAAATAAAATAAAGAATCTTCAGAGACCTAGGTTCTAATGTCACTAATACATTTTTTGCCTCATGAACTTTGGCAAAGCAATTAAAATAGGCTGCATCAGGGACACTGTCCTTTGAGACATAAGATAGAATAGCAGCATCAGACAGTGCCCATTTTACAGATGAGAAAAAAAGCACAAGCCTGATACAACTCCTTAATATACCTTCTAACTTTACGGGTATAAGCAATTTTAATACTCAAAATATTTTGCTTT